TTGTTTGGAGTAAATCAAAGAGGGGAAGTTAACAGAATACCTAGAGGAGAACTTTTTGGACCCCGGGGAGGGTATTCAGGACATACGAGACAAAGCAGAGGCTGCAATTGTGAGGTCGCAGGCATATAGCGAGGAACGGTCTAAGGCAAAAGGAGGCGTAGTAAATACATTCAAATCAGGAGACTTTGTAGTGATACGGAATGTCGATACTACGATAGGGACCAATAAAAAGTTAATGCCGAAATATAAAGGTCCTTATGTAGTAAGGCAAGTACTTCCGAACGACCGATATGTGATAAAATATATTGAAAACTGCCAGATCACAAAAATACCTTACCTTATGGAGTAATTGAAGCCTGCAATATAAGGCTTTGGAAATCTGAAGACTCAGGTAGGGGCACCTAGGGCTGCTCTTACCAATATTAAATTGTATTATATTGTATATAGTAGAATGTAAGTAGTATAATTAGTAGGTGACCGGGTCGGTCACAACCGTCAGGTTGGCCGAGCTGTGGTAGAATTGTTTAGATTGATATCATTGTCAAAATACAACCATGTAATAGATTACCGACTATCATTTAGATCATAAGATTCAAATGTAACGAAGAACAGAACGATGATGAAATAAAGAAAAGACGCCATTCTAGTGAATGCGGTCAAAGAGACAACATAAAGAATATTTTTTCATGAGTTAACCAAGGCGTTTGATTTTTTTAAATAATATTTTTTCTAGGTTTAACCGAGCAATCGATTTTTAAAGATATTTTTCAGGGGTTAACGAAAGTTTACATTTTTTAAAGATATTTTTCAGGGGTTAACGAAAGCGTAGATTTTTTTAAAGATATTATTTCAAGGGCTAACCGAGGTGTGGATTTGCTAAAAAATGTTATTCAAGGGTTAAAGGAGGTATGGATTTTTTTAAATAATGTATATTAAAGGGTTATCGTAGGCGAAGGAACATTTCAAAGAATATTTTTAAGGGTTAACCGAGGCGAGGATTTCTTAAAGAAAATTTACTCAGGCGTTAACCGATGCGAGGATTTTTTAAAGAATATTTTTCAAATAGCTACAAAGCGTGGATTTTTTAAACAAATATTTTTTCAAGTAGCTATAAGATTTAGATTTTTTAAACAAATATTTTTTCAAGTAGCCACGAGGTGTGGATTAAAAAAATATTTTTTTCATATTTTTTCCCGCGCATAACTCTATTTGATATGGACTATACCTCAGAGACTCCTTTCAAAAAGTAATGTGACTCTTTATCCTGACAACCCTACTGCTAAGCATAATCCATCCCACTTGAATTCACAATTAATATTAATAATACCGAAAAATTAAATTCCGACTTCAAGTATTGAACTCAAAAGGCACACTTACCGGCCTCGGTTCATTACCCTTCTTACTTTTAATTACCCAACGGAATTGAAAGTGTAAACATCGTTTCATCATCATTTGTTTTGTTTTTTCGGGGGGGATCTTGACTTACTTATGTAAGTCAGGTTTCCTCGAAAGAGTCTAAACGTTGACCTTTTGAAAAACGGTGAATAATCCCCCGAAAAAAGAAAAATGTAAATAATTTGGAAAACAAAAATTAAAAAAATGTTTCGATGACATTTGTTTTTGTAAAGTAGAATGAAAAACGAGCCGACCAGAATTCCGCCAACAATGTGAATAGGTTCAATGAAAAGTCTTTGACTTTGTTGGTTCAAAAATATGTCGAACATAAGGTGAGTAATTTTTAAACTGGTTTAAAAATAGAACAGGGAAAAATCTATTAGCGAAAAGTTAAACCAATTCGCGATCAAGAAACCACTAGGAATTCCAATCAGATCAATAGGAAAAATTAATTCCCTGATCGAATTACATTTTGTTACATGTTATATGTCCTCTTTCCTTAAGTTGTTGTTGTTATTCTTTGATTTATTCCCGTAAATCAAGACCACCACCTCTTCATCTCCTTCCACTCCTTCTTCTTACACTTAATTGTTTTTCAATGTCATTGACTTTGATCGTAACCAAAAACAAAAAAATATTTCATGGAGTAAAAATTTCCTTGTTTTGTTGTCGCTGTTGTTACTGTTTTTGGAATCTTCAATCTTCGACAAATATTCGTAAATGCTGTTACGGCTTCGGCGTAATTGGTATTATTTTGATCAACGTATTTAAAAATTCTAACCGCGATTGCGGGGCCATTTGTTTTCACGATCTGATGACTGGTTGGCTGCCATGTTGGCCAAACGGTATTTGGGAGAACAAAAGCAACAACAAAAAAATAAATAAATTTCGTTCAAAATGATTTATAGACTGCCATTTACACGTTATTACTACTTCTCAATTGTAATAAAACAATGAATATATTGTTGTTTATGAAATCGTTGCAATATTTTTTCTAAATTTGTTTAAGAAGACTTTTTAACCCAACATGACACTTGACAAAATCCATGTTTATTCTTCATATTCCTTACTTTTGGTCGTTGGAAAATTTTGCTATAATTGGGCGCCATTGGGATGAACGAGGATATGAAAGCCATCGACTCGCTAGATAAACATTATTTCAAATAAAAAGTATTCGAATTCACACTATTTTGCTCATTGAAAATGTTTGCTACAATTGGGCGCCATTGGGATAAAGGAGAATATGAAGATCATACCCGTACATCGGCACTCTATCATTTTTGAAAACCAGTAAGGAAAGTAGTAAAGTCGGACTGGGCCGACTATATAATACCCTTCACCACTTTGGGTATATTCTACATATGTATCCTAATAGACGTCGCCTTTTCGAAGGAACATTGACATGAAATTGAGCGAACTTAAATATGCGATCTTTATCTACAAGTAAACCGACTAACATCAATCCCAACACATGTCATTCTGCCACCTATTCTAAATTTCGTAAACAGATTTATAGCAAACTTTACACCCGATATTTGGTATGCTTCACTGTTTAAAATGTAATATCAATCCATTGATTATTTGGTGCACAATCAACATGAATAGGTCGAAGTTATATATGGAAGCAATGCTATATCTAAATATTAATTTCAGTACGTTGTGTTAATCGGCCTAACTATGGGTCTTTAGTGCACCATTTACTAAAAATCGGACGAAAGTGTATATAGGAGCTGAAGCGATTTTCACGAAACTTAGCACACATCATTCTGGACCTAATACAGTAGGGGAGAGGGGGGCACCTCTCCCCTACGGCATTTACATTAGAACTTTTTACCGGGTTAACCTACTTTATGAGGATTTATTTGGCATATATACAATGGAATTGACATTTGAAACCCACTGGGTTAACGAAATCCGGTACAATGTAAACGTACTATTACGCATATAGAGAACAAGATTGCCATATACAAAAATGTGGTTGCGGGTCGGAAAAATATTAAACCAAGATTTTATGAGCGCTGTTCAAAGGTGCCCCACGTTCAAAGGTGCCCCCCACACCCCTACCCTATGCCAAATTTTGTGCAAATCGAAACTTAGTAGAGCCTGATACTCTTAATCTCATGGTCGTGAATTCGTGCCTCACATTGGGCGCCATCTCTGTTATGTGTGATTTTGGCATAACGACTAGCTACAAAAATCTTAAATTTGTCATGAGTTCTCAACCCGATAAAACAGGACTCACACACATACATTGAACATCGGGAAATTTATTTAAATTTGCACTGAAATTACTCGTGGGAAAACATGTCTATAAGGATCTTGGTAAACCGATCAAAGTACACAGATCTCTATATTATTTATACAGATGGAACAATATCGTATCAATGCTATATACATATAGGGGAGCTGTATCTAAATCTGAACCGATTTTTTACGAAACTTTGCACACATCATTCTAGACTTAATTCACTACGCTATGCCAAATTTCGTTCAAAACGAATGATATATAAGGACTTTGGTACACCATTTACCTTAAATCGGACGTAACTATATATGGGAGCTATATCTAAATCTGAACCGATTTTTACGAAACTTTGCACACATCATTCTAGACTTAATTCAGTACGCTATGCCAAATTTCGTGCAAATCGAATGAAATATAAGGACTTTGGTACACCATTTACCTTAAATCGGACGAAATATATGGGAGCTATATCTAAATCCCAATTTCAATAGGGTTCGTCCTTGGATCGAATAAGGGACCTGTGCCAAACTTCATCCATCTGTTGAATATACCCAAAGTTGTGAAGGGTATCTTATAGTCGGCCCCGTCCGACTTTACTACTTTCCTTACTTGTTTTTATATTTGACTAAATAAATCCCTACATACAGAGTTTCTTTCTTGTAACTCACCTCAAGTTGTCCTACCTTGTATTATTGTACCTTGACGCAAACCTTGCATTCGATATTTATTCAAAGAAATTAACCATTTAAATGGTTTTATTTATTAAACCGGCTTTGATTTAAATAAAATAGTTCAATGTTCAAATTACCATCATATGCTCGCTTGTTGTACGACATATCGTTTAAAATTATCAAACACTACTAAACACATACAACCATGACAGATGGCTAATGAGTAATCGATTACTCTGCACTCATTACTCTCACAGCTAGCAACATTGACGGGCATTATTAGCAGACTTTTATTTTTTGGCACAGACACATTTTTTCGACAAAGTCCAGGAACAATTATAATTTTCTGCTGGTAGAAATAAAGAAAATTAGCATATAAAGTTGAAAAATGTGCTACACAAGCATTGCCAATAGTTGGTGATAGAAGCGAGAGTGGAAATTATCTCTTTGCCAAGGGAAAACGTGAAGAGAAAAAGTCAACGGACGGGGTCGTTGCATTGCAGAAGAAAATTTCTCCACACGAAAACTGTCTGTCAGCTGCCTCCTTACTGGTAGCCCCTAAACACGTTAAAGTTTTTTTATTTGTAAAAAATATAGGAAATTAAACAGGTAAATATTGGAATGCAAATGATTTGAATATATTTTGAGATTTAATTGTTGATTGTCTGTGACATTCATAGCCCCGCACACTCAAACACACACACACAATGATGGATGTTTCACAACCCCCGCCTCAATTGACGGCACCATCACATTTAGCCACCAACATCAGTGTACCTCCTCCCATGCCAGGTTCTCATGGCCATTACCGACCCCATTATCATCACGGCCATCATGGTAATCCGAATAAACCATATTTCAAATCATTTGGCGGTGGTGGCTTCCAGCGTCCGCATCAAATGACCCAGGATGATTTCGATGGCAAACGTTTGCGTAAAAGTGTTATGCGTAAGACTGTTGATTATAATGCCTCCATTGTTAAGAAATTGGATGTAAGTTTTTGCAAATTCAAATTATGTGGGAGAATATTTTATAATGTCTAATGAAATGAGATAAAATCTAAATTGTATAAATTCATACTAACGTGATCAAGTGAACATGACCTAATTGGGGCGAACATTTCAGAACGATATGAAGAGCTCTAGAAAAAATTTCGTTTTGAGTGTAGTTGAAGGTCCGGTCGCGAATCGTTTTGAATTATTTACCAAATGAACTCCTTACTTACTTACTTAGCTGGCTTGTTACAGAACGGTTGTTCCATAAGCCGAGCTTAAAAAAGATTTCCAAGCGCGTCGGTCTTGTGCGCAAGTCCACCAATTTGAAAGACCACGTTCCAGGATGTTGTTTTCTACTTGGTCTTTCCATCTAATTCGTGGCCTTCCTCCTTGGGGCCCTGATTATGTGTGTTCTAAAGTTCGGCAGGGATCCTTCTATTTTGTCTCGCTTTTTAATATTCTCTTAAACAATATGGTTATCAATTTGAAGCGTTTGAAGTTCATACTTCTTGAGATATGGGTCTTCAAAATTGGCCTAGACAATATGGGTATCATATTAATTTTGGATAACAATGTTTTAGAAAAAAAATGGAATTGCTCGATAAGAAAATAACATCAGCAATTAAAGCGCTTTAATTTGATACAAACAATTCCAAAGTGAATATTATAAAGCTGGAGAGAACACAGGGGTCCCAGCGTAAATGTGAAGCCTATATCTCCGGAAGTATAGATATTCTTAAGAAAAACTAGACGTGTTCCAAATTTTCTGATTCTCAAATAAGATTATTGGTAAATCAAATTTAATTTAACTGTTTCAATGGCATTATGAAATATTCTCTTGAATTTGTATGTATTAAATTTGTTTATATATTAATTGCGTATTTTTTTTACCCCATTTAGGCCCGCCTCTGGCAGCGAGATCATCGTGACCGTTATGCCCTACAACCGGAAAATATATATGTTCCCGAGTTGTTACCACCATCTAGTTATTTGGATAATCCCTCCAATGCTGTTACAACAAGATTTGTTAAGACTGCCACAAATAAAATGCGTTGTCCCATTTTTACGCTGGCCTGGACACCGGAAGGTCGCCGTTTAGTTACCGGTGCCAGTTCAGGGGAATTTACTCTCTGGAATGGTTTAACATTTAATTTTGAAACTATTTTACAAGTAAGTTACGTTTGGAGTTTAGCTTTTGAAGAGGGGTTGTGGAGTCGTAGCAACGTAACGAGTTATGAAATGGATTAAATTGTGTAAAATGCTAGGATTAGTATCGTTCCACACGGAGACATATCGTCCATCCTTCGGTGTAGAGAAAAGAAGCTAGAAAGAGGAAAAAGATAGTATAAAGGAAGAAGTGAAGGTTTGAACTGGTAGTTCAACCACGACAATTTTCTAACAAAATTATTAATGAATTAGGGGTTTCGGAGAAAAAAGTTAGGGTTTCTATCTCAAATAGATAGTAGGACTGTGGTCGCTGTGATACAGGAAACAAAGCTTACCGAGAAATGTAGCTTACACCGTTGCAGAGCCAACGGATTGGCCAATGAGCGTAATGAGCTTCATCGTACGTCCCCTAAAGACACAAGGATAATAGGATTTATTCTCGAAGGGCTACTACAACAAAAACCACAATGGGTTATCAGCTTGTTGCTTATTTCATTGTAGCCGTCATATTGCTTTTACACAATGGAGAGGTGATAGACGTTGGCAATGTAAGACTTAAGTCGTTTCGGATTGTAGTCCCCTCTGACGTTGTAACCCGTCGCTTTTCTTAGTTAAGAGAAATCTTATTGGCAAGGTTTTCGGAAGTTTTCCGATCACCTTTTCAGATAGCTTTTCGTTACTTTAGATTAACGAGTAGCTGAGAAGCATTTCCGTCAAATTGGCACACAAGAAAGACAAACCTTCCCATGAGAGACTATGGTATTTACCCAAGGATAAGAGAACTTACACTTGAAGTCAAGATATTAGTATGCGAGCACAAAAGCAAGAAGTGGCTAGACCACATGAAGAATGCAGAACAAGTAAATTGTGGTCAACGATTAAGTCACTCTCGAACCCTTAGATGGGAAAAATATAGGAGGATTGTAAGTTTGACAGATCAGATGAGGTGTGCGTCTAATTTAAACAGCCACCCTGGTAATGCTTAAGCAACTGGGTGATTCCGGAGTCAAGTACTTAATATCAAATTTGTCCGGAAGCCTGAAAGTGCCGCTACTGCATGGATTCCGTAGAACTCCCAGTATGACAACATCATTGCTCGCCATTTCCACACATATTAGTAGAGAACTGAACCGAACAGTCATGATGGTACTTTATCTATAAATGTGCTTCGATATTATCAGCCCTACTAAACTGTTCAAGGACGTAGAGAAGGCCAAAATTCTGTAATTTCGCCGGACGGCATAGAGATCATAATGTCTGTGAAGGATTGTACGATCATGGTATCGGTTCCTATTATTGATGGCATATGTGAAATGTTAAATGTATACATAACTGATCTTGTGAGTTTCTTCCATCCGGGAAATGTTAAAACATCCGCCACTAAATCCAAAGCCACGCTGTTCACCATTTGGACGTCTGATATGAAGATCCCGCTAAAAATAATGGTCAATGGAGAACATTACCTATCGTTTCGATTGTGGAAGCCACTGCTATTGACGAGAAGTAGGAACAAGGTCCTGAAATCGCAAGCCGTCAGCATTTGGGTTGCTGACGAGGAAACCTTATTGTGGCTTCTGAGGCGCCAGAGTGGTTTGTGAATGTAAGTGATACACAGTGGAAGAGTATTCAGACCTCCCAGAAGGAGTCTAAGATCCTACCCGTTCAACTATGTTGTTAATGCAGTACCTTCTTGGGAGTTATCGTCGGGAACAACTCTTTCAAAGCCTTATGGACAGGCCAGGAACGTCAGGATAGATCTTCATGATATTGAGACATAGGTCCAAAAGTACAAGCGAGAACCTCTAGATCACAGGACTATCAGACTGACCAAATTGCATTTATACATATGCAGACGTCCGGGCAGTAGAACTACCGTATGAATGCCATCCATAAAAGCAGAGGAGAACCAGTTTCATAGACAGACACGAGTAGTTTTGGCACAGCTAAGATTAGGATGGTGGAACCCACAAATCACACTGGGCGTAAATTTGTGGCACCGCTTTCATTTCTAAACAAACTGATGACCGTTCCAAGAGTTTTATAATACATTTTAAGGAAATTTTTTTGGACGAGTCTATTTTATTTCCATATCAAAACTTCGGAATGAATATTTCTGCCACTTACCTTAAGTGGATATTGGACCTGGTTGATACATCGGCAGCTTGAAATTAAATCAAAAGGAAGGTAATATTGATTGCTTATAAAGTTAGTCATTATTCATATTTTATTGAAGAGGGACTACATATAATTTAGACCCATTTGGATTTAAATTCCTTGATCGCAACATTTCTTTCCGACTACACTGAAAGCACGCGACTCCACAGCCCTGAATATTATATAATATTATTTTTACATTTTACATATATATCTCTGTTTTCGTCTAAACCCCTTTAGGCCCACGACACATCAGTACGTACAATGGTATGGTCTCACAATGATAGCTGGATGGTGACCGGTGATCATGCAGGTTATGTTAAATACTGGCAATCGAATATGAACAATGTGAAAATGTTCCAGGCCCACAAGGAAGCAATTAGGGGAATAAGGTATAGCTTAAAATTATTCATTTTTTTCTATCTACTACATTTATATTTTTTAATTGAAATTTCAAGAAAAAACAAGAGAAATTAGTTGAAATGAAATAAAAATAATAAAGAAATGGTTAGGGAGAAAACTGTAGGTTCTAGAAATAAAAAGTTATAATAAAATAAAGCCATCATTGATAGGTTTGCTGGTATTGGTTGTGCGTTGTTGATTTCCCTTTAAATAAATAAAGTTTCTCAAAAGGGGAAAAACGCCTCCAATTACCAGTTTGTTTTTTCTAGATTGTACAAAAACAACTGTGATATTTTTTTTTTTTTTGTCTTTATCAAAAACATTCTAAATAAAAAGCCAAAGACTGTTTTTATTATCCACTTACAACACACATTATAATATTTAAAACAAATTTTATTAACAATAAAAATTAAAAGATTTTCTTAAAAAAAAAATTCAAAACTAAACGTTTTTGATTTCTTTGAATTGAAATACGGTTGGTGTGCCCCTTTTTAGCCAATTTTTTTTATCAGTGACATGAAAAAATAAAATAAACCATATATTTCCCTTATCCCGCCACAGTATTCTGCTGCGCCACACACAGAAAAAAAGAAAACATTTTGAGAATAATGAAATCAAATTCCAAATCACACACACTCAAGGAGGAAGGAGGAGGCTGAGGATTTTTTTTTTATTTTTGATATAAATTATTATTTTTATTTGTTTGTTTTATAATTTTTCATTAAATTCTTCAATAGATATGACATGGGATAAATTTGTTTTTCTTTAAAAATAAATTAAAAATTTTTTCTCCGGCCAAGAAATCTATAAATCTATCTATATTAACGTCCACTTAAAATTTTTATTAAGACTGGTGTTTTCAACATGACCATGATGACTCAAGATTTTTAACTGTTTCCAGATATATCGAACATCGTTGAAGGATTCATATATCCAAATATTAAAAAATATTTATTAGATTTGAAGATACCAGACCCCTCTATATACTTAAGGCCAAATAATACAGCAACAGCACTTTCTTGGCAAGATTTTCATTATATAGTGTTATTTATTTTTTTCTTTTATATTTTGATACCGGCCACATTGAGTATAGACATTTAGAGCACCTGTTATCCGTGTTGATATAGTCAAATTTATAAATTTTCTTTTCATATTGAAAAAATTGGGAAAGGTATCGAAAGGTTTCATTTGCGTTTCTCCAAAAGTACACCTTATCCTCCCATTAGGAACCAAATCATCCTTATGAAGTGTGGCGTGTATCACAAGGTCGGCTCTGTTCGACTTGATTTTTTTTTTTTTTTTTTGAATTTGATGTTTATAAAAATAAAAATCTAAATAAAGAAATAAATTACATACAATTCATCTTTAGGTATTTTTCTTTCTTGATGTGATCGAAATGAATAAAGAATTTCATTTTCAAAAAAGCAAGGCTTTGGCATTTTTATTAAAAAAAAACTCCCCAAATAAATAATAAGCGAATTTTGTAAATATATATTTTATTTGTCTTAAAAGTTTCTCTTCTTAATAAACATTTTATTTCCTTTCTTCACGGTTCATGGTTATACAAAACGAAACAAAAACAAATGAAATAAATGTGTAATAATCAACGTCGTTTTGTTTCGTAAAAAAATATAAATCACCTTTGCTTCATTGTGTATGATGGATACCACCTGCTGCCTGTGATATATCCCGTTACTCGACGCTCGAACGAACTAATATTGAAATAAATAAATAAAAACAACTACAGCTTCAGTCCGACGGATAGTAAATTTGTTAGCTGTAGTGATGATGGTACTCTGCGTATATTCGATTTTCTTCGTTGCCAAGAGGAAAAAGTTTTAAGGGGTAAGTACAATAATTTTGAATACTTATTTCATCAATGCATTTCAATTTGACAAACACATCTTTGTCAAATAAACAAACGATTTAGTTGAACAAATAAATTTAACTTTCCGAAACACGATGACTAACACGGCGTGTTTTCCGATTTTTTTCAAAAACTCATTAAAGGTTTTTATAATGGAAAGCTTTCCTTCTTATACCCTTCATCACACTGTGGTGCAGGATATTATGTCTTTGTGCACATGGCATTGTGGCAGGCAAAAGGAAGCGAGATAGACACATGGTTCCTTTTAAGAATATGCATAGAACCATTTTTTAAGTCCATTTATGCATGTCCGTCCGTCTGTCTGTCTGTCCATATTAAATTGTAAACAAAGTACAATTCGAATTGGATGAAATTTGGCACAGCTCATTTATTTGGCCCAATGACGAACCCTATTGAAATTGGGAAAAATCTGTTCAGATTAGGATATAGCTCCCATATATTTTTTCGACCGATTTAAGGTATATGGTTTACCAAAGTCGCTATATATCTTTCGATTTGCACGAAATTTGGCACAGCGTACTGAACTAAGTCTAGGATGATGTGTGCTAAGTATCGCGAAAATCGGTTCAGATTTAGAAATACCTCCCATATATTATAGTTTCTCCCGATTTTAGGTAAATGGTGCAGCAAAGTCCCTGAAAATCATTCGATTTGCACGAAATTCGGTACAGCGTACTGAATGAAGTCTAAAATTACGTGTGCTAAGTTTTGTGAAAATTGGTTCAGATTTAATTTTAGCTCCCATATATAGTTTCGCCCGATTTCAGGTAAATGGTGTACCAAAGTCCCTATATATCCTTCGATTTGCACGAAATTCGGCATAAAGCACTGAATTGCGTCTAGAATGATGTGTTCAAAATTTCCTGAAAATCGGTTCAGATTTAGAAATAGCTCCCATATATATTTTCGTTCGATTTTATGTAAATGGTGCACCAAAGTCCCTATATATCTTCCTATTTGCTCGAAATTTGGTACAGCGTAATGAATTAGGTCTAGAATGATGTGTGTTAAGTTTCCTGAAAATCGGTCCAGATTAAGATATAGCTCCCATATATATTTTCGTCCGATTTAATGTAAACGGTGTACCAAAGTCCCTATATATTTTTCGGTTTGCATGAAATTTGGCACAGCGTACTGAATTAGGTCTAGAATGATGTGTGTTAAGTTTCGTGAAAATCGGTTCAGATTTACATATAGCTCCTAAATATTTTTTCTTCCGATTTTATGTAAATAGTGCACTAAAGACCCAACGTTTTAGTAGTTAATATAAGTTAATTTCTGGCAAGTCTTATTTAAATCGGTTCAGATTTTGATATATATATATATATATATATAATATTATAGAATTTTTAATCACTGAGTATAGAAGTTACATGACCGAAGTTTAGTATGGCTAGTCGAAAAGACAACGATTTAAAGAAACGTGTATTTATTAGACTTTTTTTTTTGATTTAGAAACCATTTTTTACCTTAAAAATGAGAACTGAGATAGAAACAACAACCAAGGCTGGACAGTTAGTTGATTGTAGCCAAAATGAAATACACCCTTTTCAGATGCTATTCAAAACATTTCAGTTTAATTAGAGAATTCCATTTGCATGCGCTGGTTAAATCTTTCTTAGTATCGTTATACATTCCGAGAGGAACACATCTTGTTAAGCCTGCCAACAGAATTTCTAATAGTTTTTATACAATACATAACTAGGGTATTATAAGAATGTGGACCCAAAGGATTGAAAATAATAGTATACTGATGAATCGGTCTAGCAATGTGTGTATGACCGTATTTTCTTTACAATTATCATATCATTTCCATATCTAACAAACAGTCGATTTATTCCGATCTCAAGCGCTAGATATCTACAAAGTATATGCTCAATTGTTGTCAGCTCTTCCCTAATTATACAGTGACATTTTATGATACCAACATTGAATTTGATCTCCCTTTTCCTCAGGCCAGATGGTTTTTAAAGTTCTACATCGAGGCTCCTCAGACAATCTAGCAGTAGATAATACGACTTTTGCCAGTGAAATAGCCGAAAAGTGGTCGCTCCCTCAATCAGTAGACATACTTGTTATTCCCCCATATCACCTTCTCTCTCAAATAGTGTTTATCCCGAAGGGAATGGCATGTCGACCCCAGCTAAACTTAGAGTGAGCTTTTCAATGCCACTAAATCTAAATTGTATCACCTAAATCTAAATTGTATCAAACTTAGTACCTATAAATACAAATTTCGAAAACTACATCCATATCCCAATCCTTAATCTTAATTTCAAATTTCAGCTCCTAAATCCAAATTTTATCAAATTTAGTACTATTTAGTTAGTGCCTTTTTTTACAAAATTTCCAAAACTACCTACATCGTACAATACAATAGAAATCTTATTTGCTAATTTCAGAATTCAAGCCCTATCGGTTCAACCCAAAATTGTACCAAATTTAGTACTATTAGTACACATTAATGCGAATTTTCCAGATTCCAGCTTCTGCAAATTCAAATTGTACCAAATATAATAAATTAATTTTCATATACATGAGTAAACACTTCCAAAAACCACCTCCTTACATCGACCGTACTTCCCAACCTTTTACGCGTTCCAAATTTCAAGTTTTTAGCTCTATCCGTTCATAGACTACGAAAATTTACCAAATATAGAACAACCTCGGAAGCAATTCAAAAAAAAAAAAAAAACTCTCTGGTACATCAATCCTACATTCAATCACAGATATTGCTACTAATCCTAAGAAATTTGGTATTGAAAATGGGATATATCGGTCCACGTGTTAGTGTAGCTCCATATAACGGTACCACAATTTTTCAATATTTTAAGGATTTTGAACACGTACTCCCAATTTTCGAATTTCTATGTATTTCAGACACGTTTTTAAACCGAATTCTAATTCGAGACTAAAATCTTTCAGGTCATGGTGCTGATGTCAAATGTGTCCATTGGCATCCCCAGAAGGGTTTGATTGTATCGGGAAGTAAAGATAATCAGCAGCCCATCAAATTATGGGATCCCAAAAGTGGTACAGCTTTGGCTACATTGTAAGTTAAAAAAATATTCTTACATAAATTACATAATAAATAAAACCCATATTTTTTCTTTTCACACAGACATGCCCACAAATCGACTGTGATGGACTTGAAATGGAATGATAATGGCAATTGGTTGATAACCGCCTCCCGAGATCATTTACTCAAACTGTTCGATATACGCAACCTCAAAGAGGAGGCTCAGGTGTTTCGTGGCCACAAAAAGGAAGCCAGTTCTGTGTCATGGCATCCCATACATGAGGGCCTGTTTTGTTCGGGAGGCTCGGATGGTTCCATACTGTTTTGGAATGTGGGGTAAGTTTGAAAAGAGGTTTATTTTTTCTAAATATTAATTTCTGTTTGTTTGTAGGACCGACAAAGAAATCGGCTGTGTTGAGACGGCCCATGACAGCATTGTCTGGACATTGGCTTGGCATCCGTTGGGCCACATCTTGTGTTCCGGCTCGAATGATCACACAATTAAATTTTGGACACGCAATCGGCCAGGTGATTTAATGAGAGACAAATATAATTTGAATACCCTGCCGGCCAGTTTAGCGGCCTTGGATGATGGTGAATATGATGATGCCATCATTCCCGGCATGGGACCGGAAGATAAGGTCGAATTCACAGAGAGTTTAACAGCCGATAAAGGTTTCATACCCGGTCTTGATTTGGATCCATCGAAAAATCCAAATCGTGAAGCGGAAAAGAAGGTACCCTACAGCAAACCTATACCACGTAACTTCCAGGCCCAATGGGCTGGAACACGTCGTCCCGATGATATGGATGATGATGGTTACAGTGTTCGTGATCGAAGGCAGGATAAGGGCGATCTGACACCGCAACAGATTAGTGAAAATGCCATAGAGGGAATGTTGGCAAGTGGTGTACTGACCACAATGGATCCTCAGGCCATTGTGGGTATATTGGTATATGGACGCTTTATAAGGGTGCATCCTGATTCAAGACTTATGTTGGCTGTACGCCAAGGACCGGATTATCTAAATAATTATATAGATGCGGGTAAATTGGAGGAGTTGAGAGATGTTGTACCGGCTAGGGATCGTTCACGATCAATGTCTCCCACCTTGGAGGGTAGAGAAAGTTCTCCGCCCTCAAAGAAAAGTCGCTTCGAACCGAGACAACATAATCCGCAAGCGGTGTTTGTTAAGGAGTTGTTAAGTCTAAAGAAACCTTTCCTGCCATGTTTGTTGAATCTGAAGTCGCAGCCACCGGTGGAGCAGCGTATGACAGATTCACCACAACCCAATAGCAACAACAATAATAATAACAGCAACAACAGCAGCTTTCAATCACAATCTCCGGGGCCATGGGCAAATAATTCGGGTCCTTGGAATAATTCCTCAAATGGTCCCAATCAAAATGGCTTTAATAACAATAACAACAACAATAGCAATGATAAAAATAATGACATGTATTCCAATCAGCCGAACAACTCCAATAACAAAGCGAATTCCAACAATAGCAACAACCAAAATAATCCGAACAATAATAGGCGGAATCGACGTGGCAATCGTGGTAATGATGGTGGTGGCGGAGGAGGAGGCGGCGGTCGTAATCGTGGTCGCAACAATCGAAGATTTTAAAAGAACATATAACCTTCCTTCCTCCATATCTCTCATACTCTTCCTGAGAGTCTTTCCTCAAGAGCATAAAAATTACTACACCCACTGCTACTAACAATAGTAAAAAAACAAATAAAAGGAAATAAAAAAATAATAATTATTATTTAGTATATAATTGAAATCTAAGTACATGCTAAGCTTTGAATTTATTTTTTTAAACCACAGCAACAACAACAAACAACTAAATCCATAGAAATTTATTAACATTGTTTTTTTATTTCCTCAATATAATTCCATTGTATATTTCATTATGATATCTACACTTCCGGTTTTTATTATCAACTGCTGCACGTCATTATAATTGTAAAAGATTTTGTTGTTTTTTTATTCAATTCCTTTTTTATATAACAACATACATACATATATACCCTAACTACCTTGCGCCTATTCCTTTCTTTCCTATTTTTTTATTTTTTTTCTTCTTCTTGTGTAATTTTAAAGCTAGATCTTATAAAAACAAAATATGTCTAAAATATAAATGAGAAAAGAAGAAAAAAAACTAAACTAAGAAACCTCCTGTAAGAAATTAAAAAAACAAACGATGAGAAAAAAATAATATAAAAAAATTAAAATAAGGTACAAAAACATGAAAAGTTGTTTAATTTTTTTTCAGGGCCCAGGATTGGTTTAAGAATAATAAATTAATAAATGTGAATATTTCCATACATTTTTTGGAAGGAGTGGAATTTTTCAGTTAAATCCGAGCTATAATCGTCACATTTTTAAATATAATTTTTTGAAGGACTATCCGAGCTATAAGCGAGGAATATCAACTTTTCTCAGTTGCCGTCTTTAAAACTGTTTTGACACTTCTTCCACTAGAAATATTGTAAACAAATAAAAAATTGAATAGAATATTTCAGAAAAACTAATTATATGTGATGATAAGCTCAGTGGAACTATTTTTTGATGATAAAAATGATGTTCTATTAGAAGGCATTTAAGTGATAAATCCATTAGAACTACCATCAGTTCTGTGAGTAGATGCTTATGTTTAGAGAAATGTTCAATCAACTGCTCATTTTAGCTTGAAGGCGTATTTTCGGTTACCAAAAGTTGCCTTTGTGTACTTAGTCGAAGCCTTAAACCCTGTTTTCCGAAAAGCCCGGCGGTCAACAGAAATTCCTCCTCTCTTAAAAGTGTGTGCAGCTCTAAGGTTTTTTGCTGAGAGAAGTTTTCAAAAGTCCCATGGCAATGACTTCAACCTTGGCATGGCTCAACCCACAATGTTGGTGGTTTTTGCCGATTGTTTCCAAATTAACAGAGGAGGAAAAAGGGAAGAATAATATATTTTTTTCATTCGAAAACAAAGTCCCCGGGTGTTGTCGGATGTATTGTTTACATACACGTACATATCATGGGCTCAAAAGATGTTCGCCATTCTCTACCATTCATTTGGAATGCGTGTTGGTGGGCCATAGCAGTTAAGGTCTTCTGAAATGGCCTTCCAAACACCACCGATAGTGGCTTTGGTTTGACCAAAAGTCCGCACGTCGCGTGCTCCATTTGGGTGAGTTTCCATTCGGGCAATTAAGACCTCAAATTGTTCTTTTATAGTAATACTAGCATATACCCGCTACTTCGTTAGCGAATGTGGGATGTATTTAAAACCACCCTATATCGATCATTATTGAAATTTTAGAACCATTTAGTACCATAGTATGTTCTCAAATATATCTCTGTATCTCAACCCTACACACCCATTCCGACCGCAACAGAAATCTACCTCTATACTAAATTTGGTGTAATTTTTTACCATTTGTACTCTTGTTATACTTATTTTGAAAAAAAATCACCCAAATCCAAATTGAGTATCAGTTAGTCCACATTAATATAAATTTCCATAACTACCTACTTTAGCAATCATAAGTACGAATTTCCAACACTTCCCACATACCACAATCTTAATTCCAAATTTCAGGATTCTATCGGTTCACTTAAATCCAATTTGTATCACATTTAGTACCACTTAGAACACATAAGTAAAAATTTCCATTACTACCTACATCATGCAATCAAATTGAAATCATGAATTTGATAAAATTAATTATAATCCAAATAGTATCAAATTTAGTACACAGTAGTACGAATTTCCAAAACTTCCTACTTAACCCAAACATACACTCCCACAGTGATCCTAAATCCAAGTTTCAGGATTCCAACTCTATTAGTTCACTCACAATTCAAATTGTAGCAAATTTAGTAGGGGAGACTGGGGCACCTTCGGCATCGGGGCACCTTCGGCAATCGCGTTTTCGATATGAAGCTCTCATCGTACATCACTAGTTTCGATACATTGGCATCTAATATCGAAATAAATAACTGACACAAATTTTGAAACTTCTAGCTAATAAGCTTATGTAGATACATAGGTTTTTGTATTTTTATAGATGTTTCTGTAATATTTCAATTCCATTTCGTAAGTATTTCGTGATAAAACTTTTAAATTTTTTAAGACAATATTATTAAAAAGTGGTTAACTACGATGTGTATTATTATAAACATATTTAAAAATATAATGTTTTTAAAAATCTGATCGAAAAAAATGAAAAAAACTATAAAAAGTACATTCGGGGTACATTCGGCATTTTAAAGTGGGGCACATTCGGCCATATACAGATTGTGCAATATTATTTCCTTAAAATATTTTTGAGTTTGTCTTTAAAACTAATCCTTTAATATGGCTCGAAATTGCATATATAAGATCAAACGTGATTTTATTGACGAAAATGCGATAGAAACCCCCTATTTCTGATGGTGTGTGCGACCTTGAGATGTAAACGTCCGCCGCTAGAAAATATAGCCCTAAAATTCAAACATTGTGTGACGTATTAAAACCAAATAGAGCCTTTAGAGGATCAGAATTTCAACCAGACTGATAGCGATGACAATTACGCGGCTATGACTATGGTGCCGAATGTGCCCCATCAATTGCCGAAGCTACCCCGGGTTGGGGCACATTCGGCGAATTTGACTTTTTTTACAAAACTGTAAAATTTATTAACTAATACTATTTTTTTATATCTTTTTGATACTATTTTTTATAATTAAGTGTCACAGGACAATAATCAGTCATAAAGTTGTTATATATGTTGAATAAGTACTGAGATATAGAGCTCTAAAAAAGTGCCGAAGGTGCCCCAGTCTCCCCTACATAGTTGTACCAATGTCCAAAACTTCCTACATACCTCAATCCTACACCCGCACTGTCATCCTAAATCCAAGTTTCAGGATTCCAACTTTATCGGTTGACCTACAATTCAAATTGTTCCAAAGTTAGTACACAGTACATCCCTACAGTGATCGTAAATACAAGTTTTAGGATTCCAACTCTATAGGTTCACCCACAATCCAAATTGTACCAAATTTAGTACACAATAGATCGAATTTCCAAAACCTTCTTCTTACCCCAAACCTACACCCCTATAGTGATACTAAATCCAAGATTCAGGATTCCAACTCTAACGCTTCACCCATAGTTTAAATTGTACCAAATTTAGTACACAGTAGTACGATTTTCCAAAACCTCCTTTTTAGCCCAAACCTTCACCCCCAGAGTGATACCAAATCCATGTTTCAGGATTCCAACTCTATCTGTTCACCCACAATTTAAATTGTACAAAATATAGTACACAGTAGTACGAATTTCCAAAACTTCCTACTTAACCCAAACATACACTCCCACAGTGATCCTAAATCCAAGTTTCAGGATTCCAACTCTATTGGTTCACCCACAATTCAAATTGTAGCAAATTTAGTACATAGTTGTACCAATGTCCAAAACTTCCTACATTCCTCAATCCTACACCCGCACAGTCATCCTAAATTGAAGTTTCAGGATTCCAACTCTATTGGTTCACCCACAATTCAAATTGTACCAAATTTAGTTCATAGTTGTACCAATGTCCAAAACTTCTTACACCCCCATCCTAAATCCAAGTTTCAGGATTCCAACTTTATCGGTTGACCTACAATTCAAATTGTACCAAATTTAGTACCATTTAGTACCCATAAGTATTATTTTCTTAAACTGAATCCTGACCCTAATCCTACATCCCTACAGTGATCCTGACCCTAATCCTACATCCCTACAGTGATCCTGACTCCAAATTTTATTGTTCCCGCTCTATCGGTTCACCCAAATCCAAATCCTGACCCTAATCCTACATCCCTACAGTGATCCTGACTCCAAATTTTATTGTTCCCGCTCTATCGGTTCACCCAAATCCAAATTGTACCAATTATAGTACGATTTAGTACTTTTCGTACTCATAAGTAACAAATTTCCAAAACTACGTACATACCCCAATGTTAATATCAATTTTCAGGATTCTAGCTCCATTTGTACCTCCAAATCAAATTTGTACCAAATATAGTACCATATAGTACTTTTCGTACACATGAGTACACGGTTTCAAAACCATCTCCTTATATCGACCCTACTTCCCAACCCTAATTCGCATTCCAAATTTCAAGTTTTTAGCTCTATCCGTTCTCATGCTACAGAATTGTACCAAATTTAGTACATGTTCGTACATTTCGGATAGTTGTAGTTCGAATTTCCAAAACCCTTTGGTACATCTATCCTACACTCCATCAGTGACCCTCAATCCAAATTTCAGAGTTCTAGCTCTACTGGTTCGCCAAATACAAATGATATCATATTTAGTACTTTTTAGTACTTTTCGTACCCTTCTAGTACGAATTTCCAAAAACCCAGCCTTATCTGTCACATTTGGGCCAAGAGTGACCCTCACCCAAAATTTCAAGATTCTAGCTTCAGCCGTTTCGTCTGGGCGTTGATGAATCGTTAAATCAGTCAGTCAGTCAATCACTTTACTCTTTTATTAGTATAGATTAGCCAAATTTCAGTTCTTATTGCTAAATACGACTAAACAGCAACCAGAAATAAATGGTTGCCTAAAAATTCTATTTGAAGCAACTGAAGTTGACAACATTTG